ATCAGTTCTAACCAAAACCATTTTATTAATAATGTTAGAAGTTTCATTCTCTTTCTTCTTACCTCCGATTACGTTAGAGTTTTGTAATCCTATTTCACTCCCATTCAGTATTCCTAGGCAGGCGTTTCCAGTTTTCTGAAAAATACAATACTGATTCATTCACTATTTTCGAATGTGATGAAACTGAGTTTTTGAGTTTAATTTATCATATCTTACAGAGATTATGAGATAAGATTCGGGTGGAATTTGGAGCTGAACGTTTCTTTTTCCATTCGTGAAGGTAATTGTTAAGGTCTTGAACAAGTTCTTGACCTCGACAAGAGATTTCAATGGCTTTGCTGCTTTCCAGCAGACTGGTAAAGTCTTATCTTCTTTCGCATCCTTCAACGGTTTGCCTTTCAGATCATTTCCGATCTGAAACACGCTCGAAAAACGCCATCAAATGATATACATACATTGTTCTTGAATTTTTATTTTTATGTCATGGTTTTGTGTTACGTCAATTACCAGTGTAACTATTGTTTGGTATGTCTTGGTGTTGAAATAAGTGTAAGAGCTTCCACTGTCAAAGATGAGTTTTAGGCCTTTCAGACCTGTTGGCTTTCCGTTGAAGAGAAACTCGGCTGGTCCGGTCGTGTAGTGGTTGCTGAACACAAATATCATATAGACTAATCAGTTAAGTCTCTGTGATGACAAAGTAAGTACGAAAGAAAAGAAGAAATTATTAGTATATACTCTGTTGATAGTAATGGTGTCCAGGCTACACCAATGGAAGGTACGAGATTGTCTCCAAAGAACAAAAAGCCTCCACCTTTAGAGCTTAAGCAATGTCCAATCACGTTTCTCGTTAGTCCGGTCGAGACAAGCTGTGTCAAGATGCTGACTTTCCCTCTCCCAAGCCCTAAAACTCCAGCAGTCATAGGCGGAGGATGAGCACTAGGGAAACTCTGATCATAACCGCACCTGCAGACACAAGATTCCAACATCCTGTTAATATTTTTATTAATCTCAAGATTCACATCACGAAATACAATTCCTTAGCTAACCCGAATGCCAAGCGGGGCTGTAGGACGGTGCCATTTAAGAGAGTCAGAGGAAACTGATCGGTAACGAGTACACCCAATGATGAAGCTTGATCAGCATATTCAACATCGTAGTCACATTGCTCTTTTGGGTTTGGGCATTGAGGCTTGTTAGGCCAGTGAAGAGCAGAGCAGGCCGGGTCTGAACAGGGGACAATGTTTGCCTTAGGCTTGTACTGAAGTGGACGAGGCTACAAAACAACAAAGAAAGATAAGAAGGCGAAAACAGTATTCAAATTTGAAATGAGAATTAAGTCGAATGATATATACCAATGTGCATTTAGAGCAAGGAGCATCGCACTGAACCCAAGTGAGATCGCTACCGGTATCAACGTCAAAATTAAAGGCCTTTGGAGGATTTCCTATTCGAATAGAGGTCGAGTAGTATCTACAAAACCATCATAGAGTTGTTGTATAGTCAAAGCCAAGAAGAGAAAAGACTGAGAAGAGAAACATCGATGGACCGATCAATATACTTACCCGAGAGGGAAGACGTTGCCGGAGAGAGGAAAGACAACTGTAGAAAGAGGAGAATTGAAAGAGCGAATACGGGAAAAGGTTTGTAAGATGGAACGTTGATCTGATTTAATGACGTCTATTGAAAGAGAAAATATAACCAAGAACATGAGGAGAAGAAGACACAATCTTGAATTCATCTTATCTCTTTCTTGCACAACAAAACAATCAATCTATCAATTTTCACAAAACAAATCAAACATAAGAAGAGAGGCAGGATCTCATGAGTTGTGATTCTTGTGAAGAAAAGAATACAAATATATAAGTCTATGTATAGGTCAATGCTTATGACTTATGATCTCTTGTTAAGTTCTAAATAATAGTATACCAAAAGGGAAAACAAAAAAAAATAGCTTACATTAATTCTTTACCGTAATTCAAAATTAAAGTCTCATTAAGAATTGACTGTATACACTTCTTATCATTTCTGTATAGTTTCCCGATTTATCAAATTATTTTGCTTGTTTGGACGAACCTATGCAAGTAATTTGGGGTACTGTAATTAAGTTTGACCCAAAAGTAAGATGATTTTCCACACAAGTAATTTAATAAAGAAGCGAGGAAGCTTCGTAGAAAATATTGAATGACTTCAAACGCGGTTTCGACGCGGTAAAGAAATTAAAAAATGAATTCATATCAGTTGAGTTGCATAAACAATTATGATGTTCGAGGATGACGAACGATTTTGACAAAAAAAAGAAGAAAAAAAAAGACCAACGTAAGTAATCATTATCCATGAGCCTT